TTAAAAAAAATCTTTTACGCTTTCGTAAACCCACCTCCTACCCCCTACACTTGCAACATCTGCCCATTTCCCCCCTATCCCCCCTGTCATAGCCTTTTCCAAATCCATAAAAGCCCCCCAAAAGCCTCTTTAAACCCTTAAACTAAATTTCGTTCTTTTAGTTTTTACTGTAAACACCTGGTCCCAACCCCCCCCCTTTTTCCTTTAAACCTCCTTGTTCATCTGCCCATCCTATTCTCCGTCTTACTTTTAAATTCTTTCAATTATAACTCTACCATACACTTTACCAGGTACACTCAACAGACTTATCCCCCTATAATTTTTGCACTCTCTTTTATCCCCTTTGCCTTTATACAAAGGAACTATGCATGCTCTCTGCCAATCCTGGGTACCTTACCCTCTTCCATACATTTATTAAATAATTGCACCAACCACTCCCAAACTATATCCCCACCTGCTTTTAACATTTCTATCTTTATCCCATCAATCCCGGCTGCCTTACCCCCTTTCATTTTACCTACTGCCTCACGAACTTCCCCCACACCACAACTGGCTCTTCCTCACTCCTACAAGATGTTATTCCTCCTTGCCCTATACACGAAATCACAGCTTCCCTATCTTCATCAACATTTAACAATTCCTCAAAATATTCCTTCCATCTTCCCAATACCTCTACCTCTCCATTTAATAACTCTCCTCTCCTATTTTTAACTGACAAATCCATTTGTTCTCTAGGCTTTCTTAACTTGTTAATCTCACTCCAAAACTTTTTCTTATTTTCAACAAAATTTGTTGATAACATCTCACCCACTCTCTCATTTGCTCTCTTTTTACATTGCTTCACCACTCTCTTAACTTCTCTCTTTTTCTCCATATACTCTTCCCTCCTTGCATCACTTCTACTTTGTAAAAACTTCTCATATGCTAACTTTTTCTCCCTTACTACTCTCTTTACATCATCATTCCACCAATCGCTCCTCTTCCCTCCTGCACCCACTTTCCTGTAACCACAAACTTCTGCTGAACACTCTAACACTACATTTTTAAACCTACCCCATACCTCTTCGACCCCATTGCCTATGCTCTCATTAGCCCATCTATCCTCCAATAGCTGTTTATATCTTACCCTAACTGCCTCCTCTTTTAGTTTATAAACCTTCACCTCTCTCTTCCCTGATGCTTCTATTCTCCTTGTATCCCATCTACCTTTTACTCTCAGTGTAGCTACAACTAGAAAGTGATCTGATATATCTGTGGCCCCTCTATAAACATGTACATCCTGAAGTCTACTCAACAGTCTTTTATCTACCAATACATAATCCAACAAACTACTGTCATTTCGCCCTACATCATATCGTGTATACTTATTTATCCTCTTTTTCTTAAATATGTATTACCTATAACTAAACCCCTTTCTATACAAAGTTCAATCAAAGGGCTCCCATTATCATTTACACCTGGCACCCCAAACTTACCTACCACACCCTCTCTAAAAGTTTCTCCTACTTTAGCATTCAAGTCCCCTACCACAATTACTCTCTCACTTGGTTCAAAGGCTCCTATACATTCACTTAACATCTCCCAAAATCTCTCTCTCTCCTCTGCATTCCTCTCTTCTCCAGGTGCATACACGCTTATTATGACCCACTTCTCGCATCCAACCTTTACTTTAATCCACATAATTCTTTCATACATTTATTAAACAAAAGTACCAACCACTCCAACACTATATTCCCCCCTGCTTTTAACATTTCTGTCATGATCCCATAAGTTCCAGCTGCTTTACCCCCTTTCATTCTACGTAATGCCTCACGTACCTCCCCCACACTTACATTCTGCTCTTCTTCACTCCTAAAAGATGGTATACCTCCCTGACCAGTGCATGAAATTACCACCTCCCTTTCTTCCTCAACATTTAAAAGTTCCTCAAAATATTCTCGCCATCTACCTAATACCTCCCTCTCCCCATCTACTAACTCCCCTACTCTATTTTTAACTGACAAATCCATACTTTCCCTAGGCTTTCTTAACTTGTTTAACTCACTCCAAAATTTTTTCTTATTTTCATTAAAATTTCTTGACAGTGCCTCTCCCACTCTATCATCTGCTCTCCTTTTGCACTCTCTCACCACTCTCTTCACCTTTCTTTTACTGTCCATATGCTCTGCCTTTCTTATAACACTTCTGCTTTGTAAAAACCTCTCATAAGCTAACTTTTTCTCTTTTATCACACCCTTTACTTCATCATTCCACCAATCACTCCTCTTTCCACCTGCCCCCACCCTCCTATAACCACAAACTTCTGCCCCACATTCTAATACTGCATTTTTAAAACTATTCCAACCCTCTTCAACCGCCCAACTACTCATCTTTGCACTAGCCCACCTTTCTGCCAACAGTCGCTTATATCTCCCCCGAACTTCCTCCTCCCTTAGTTTATACACTTTTACCTCCCTCTTACTTGTTGTTGCCACCTTCCTCTTTTCCCATCTACCTCTTACTCTAACTGTAGCTACAACTAAATAATGATCCGATATATCAGTTGCCCCTTTATAAACATGTACATACTGGAGCCTACCCATCAACCTTTTATCCACCAATACATAATCTAACAAACTACTTTCATTACATGCTACATCATACCTTGTATATTTATTTATCCTCTTTTTCATAAAATATGTATTACTTATTACCAAATCTCTTTCTACACATAGCTCAATTAAAGGCTCCCCATTTACATTTACCCCTGGCACCCCAAATTTACCTACTACTCCCTCCATAATATTTTTACCCACTTTAGCATTGAAATCCCCAACCACCATTACTCTCACACTTGATTCAAAACTCCCCACGCATTCACTCAACATTTCCCAAAATCTCTCTCTCTCCTCTACACTTCTTTCTTCTCCAGGTGCATACATGCTTACTATAACCCACTTTTCACATCCAATCTTTATTTTACTCCACATAATCCTTGAATTAATACATTTATAGTCCCTCTTTTCCTGCCATAGCTTATCCTTCAACATTATTGCTACTCCTTCTTTAGCTCTAACTCTATTTGAAACCCCTGACCTAATCCCATTTATTCCTCTCCATTGAAACTCTCCCACCCCCTTCAGCTTCGTTTTACTTAAAGCCAGGACATCCAGCTTCTTCTCATTCATAACATCCACAATCATCTCTTTCTTATCATTTGCACAACATCCATGCACATTCAGACTTCCCACTTTGACAATTTTCTTCTTCTTATTCTTTTTAGTAATCTTTACAGGAAAAGGGGTTACTAGCCCACTGTTCCCGGCATTTTAGTTGACTTTTACAACATGCATGGCTTACGGAGGAAAGATTCTTATTCCACTTCCCCATGGATATAAAAGGAAAAGTAATAAGACCAAGAACTATTAAGATAAAATCAAAGAAAACTCAGATGAGAGTGTATAAATAAACATGTACATGTATGTATAGTGTGACGTAAGTGTAAGTAGAAGTAGCAAGACATACCTGTAATCTTGCATATTTATGAGACAGACAAAAGACACCAGCAATCCTACCATCATGTAAAACAATTACAGGCTTTTGTTTTACATTCACTTGGCAGGACGGTAGTACCTCCCTGGATGGTTGCTGTCTACCAACCTACTACCTATTATTATTATTATTATTATTATTATTATATCACACCCAGCCAAGACATCAACCCTGGCTATTTTTGGTACTGAGCCAAATCACTAATATTGAGCTACGGATTGTCTGTTCTACATCATGCTCTCTCTATGAAGCTATTGACAGGTTATTAAACATGATGCAATGTTAACCCTTTGAGGGTTTTGGTCGTACTAGTACGTCTTACGTGTAGGGGTTTTTGACGTACTAGTACGCATAAATTCTAGCGGCCTCAAATCTAGTGGGAGAAAGCTGGTAGGCCTTCTTATGAAAGAATGGGTCTATGTGGTCAGTGTGCACAGTCTAAAAAAAATCCTGCAGCACACAGTGCATAATGAGAAAAAAAAAACTTTGACCATTTTTTTGGAATAAATCAGCGACTTTGCAGTGTATTTTCGTATGGTATTTATTGGTGTATTCTAGTTTTCCTGGTCTCATTTTATAGAATGGAAGACATATTACAGAAATTGAGATGATTTTGACTGGTTTTACAATGAAAGGTGCCTTGAAATTGAGCTCAAAGTAGCAGAAATGTTCGATTTTTACCAAACTTCAAAAGTAAACAAATCGTGCCAAGCGTGCAATACACGTCAACTGGTGAGTCTAATATTCTTTCACAAGTGCACCAATAATATTTATACCATTTTTTACACTAATGCAGTAGTCTGCATAACAGTAAATCTTATATTTTTTGTGAGAATAAAAATTCAAAGTGGAAAGCAAAAGAATATAAGAGGGGCCTTGAGACATGACTAATGACTAGAGGAAATGTCATTTTAGTGCCAGGAATGTCTTTCTTGTTTATTCTGGACCCTATTCGGAAATTGGCATCTTTTGAAATTTGTGTGAAATTGGCAAAATTGCTAAATTCTGACCACTGTACTGGATAGTTGAGTTTCATAAATGGGTGGTTTCTTGCACCCATTCGATAGACAAAATGGAGTTCTAGCGAAATATTCATGTTTTTTGTCGACTAGTACAGTGAAATTGGCCGAAAATGGGGCTCAAAGTGGGCAAAATCGCCGATGCGTAAACATCGCCGAGACCGCTAACTTTGTGAGAGCATAATTCCGTAAGTTTTCTATCAAATTTCAAACTTTGGTGTCTTTATGATCGGGAAAAGATTCTCTATCTTTTCATAAGAGAAAATAATTTTTTTTTTTTTAAATTTGGCCGACCCTGAGAACGAGTTTTGGAGAGGGCCTGTCGACCCTCAAAGGGTTAAAAAAAACATTACATTGGTTTTTGCATACTTATAGTGATCCAAATTCCAACGATTCTAGAAGTACATACAATGTTTAACTGAAATGAAAGAGTTAACCAAATTGACTCACATTGTCAGCATTTTCAGGTTGTTGTTTATAAGGATAATGTTTATAGAAATGTCTATTCTGAACCATTTTCTTTCTCATTCGACATGGACCTTCAGTGGCATCCAAAATCCACTTGTCAAGATGAGAGCCCTTCAGAGGACCCCAGAGTCCTCGTTCTCGAGTTAGCTCCCTCTCACAACGTTGCCATGACTCCCAAACATAGCTTGCCATGTGTTTCTGTTTCTGTAAAAAGTTTAATGAATGAAATGACAGAAATTATTCTCTCAGTATAGATTATAGCATACATTAATGATATTTAAAAAAATTATAGCCAGACTGTTATTAAAAAATTATATATTTTATCACAGTTCAGTCCCTAAGAAAGAAATCAAAACCTCCCCAGCTTCCTTTCCAATTCACATACTGGATAGTATTTTTAAAGCTGTACAACTATGTATCATGTCCAAATAAATAAATAAATAAATAGCATAATTTATATAATCTTTAATAAAATAAATAGAGCATCATCAAAACTGTTAACTTAAGTGTTGGAGATTCATCATTTTTGACAAGTTTTAGCAAGTCTATATATGTGATGATGAGAAATCTGAACATAAATTTCACAATGCTGAATATGAAAGAACAATTATATAGTTATACAAAGTTTTCATGATGGAGGCAGTGTGGGGAAACAGGCAATGAAGCAGGCTTCTATCAAGGATGATGTGACAGTGGATGACCAATACTATATGAGGAAATGGCTCAATCACCAAGAAAACTTCTCAGAAGAATGTCACAACTAAATATCCCCATGACAGCTATGTATTTTACTGCCTGGTTAAATATTTCTGAGCCAAAATAATGGAAATGATTTACCAAGTGTGTTTATCCTTCAAGGTTCCTACAGCTTGCATGAGTGTACATTCTAAAATTTTAAACTTGCACATATATACATACTACAGTGGAACCTCTGGTCACAAACACTTCTGAACATGAACAAATTGGTTCATGACTAAAAAATTCGCCAAATTTTTGCATCTGGTCACGAACACATAATCAGGTGCTGAACAAACAGCCATGCCAATTTTCACATTCTGTGCCATTTTTTTTGCATGCACCAATTCTCCCCACCATGTTGTTTGTGTACACCTAACAAAGACCCTCGCCTTGTAGTCGGTCTAGGTCTGATGTACATTCATTCGCTGTGAACTCCTTGTGTTGTATTTCATGTGTTTTTTAATTCATTTTGCAATTAACCATGGCCTCTATTGCAACAAGTGAAGAGTGGTAATGTGGGTGAAAAGAAGGGGTTGAAGAAAATTGAAATAGAAGTGAAGAAGGAAATTATTGAAAAGTATGAGCATAGTGTGCATGTTACCGATCTCGTTACGGAGTTCAAGAAGCCAAAGACTACGATCTTGACTATTCTGACGCACAGCTATATACTACTCGGATGAACCTGAATGTATCAAACCTACTTGCACTAGAGATGAATATGGTGAATATACATTTGCTAAATTTAAATCCAAAAACCTTAAAAAACAGTTGGAGCAAACTACAGAATACCTCACTCCAATATTTAGTCATTTAGTGAAAACCTACAAAACATGATAACTGACACAGAGATGAATAAGCACCACCTGATACAGGTGACCAACATAAATCTCACCATGACTGACAAATAACTGAATTCACAAACAGTATGAGCAACTGCTTACTGCTGCGAACTATAACAAAACCTACAATAATCTCTGAGACAAATGCCTCTTTACTTGACCATATCTGGACAAACACTACATCCCCATTAAAAGCAGGCATAATCACAGATAACACCACTGACCACTATCCCACCTTGCTCATAACCAACTTACGTAAATTGCCCCAGGACACAAGATCACCTTCCGACTACATGACGAGTGATCAGTTAATTTTATTTCAGCATTGAGTAACATTGACTGGCAGAATGAGCTAGCAGTCAACCTCAATACTGATAAATGTATTAATGTTTTTTTACAAAAAAGCCAAAACCTCTATAACAGGCATTGCCCAATAAAAATTAAGCAGATCACAGCAAAGAGACTAAACAGCCCCTGGCTTACAAACAGCATCGTCATCTCTATTGATAAAAAACATCTATATGAAAAACAGTACAGAATGGGTCTAATAACGAAGGATCTGGCAAAACATTACTCGTCAATACTAACTAATCTAATAATGTCAAAATAAAAAACTGTATTACAAAAGTGGATTTCATGACATAAAAGGTGATATGAAAAAGACCTGGAAAACCTTATTTGAAATTCTAGGATCTTAAAAGCTGTCTCAAAATAGAATAATTGACTTAATGAAACTAGAAGAACCTCTCCTCCAGCCAACAGATACTGCCAACAAACTTAATGCCTTTTTCTCGACCATAGCAACAAAGGTAGCATGCAAAATCCCAAACTCAAACATTCAGCCAAAAGACTATCTCACTGGTAACTACCCAAATACTCTACTTTTAGCCCAAACAAACCCTACTGATATCTTGCTCATCGTCAAAACACTAAAGAACGAGGCAGGAGACCTAAATAACTTACCACTAGTCGTATATAAAAAAAAGCTTCTCGTGTGTTGTCACAAATTATTTCAACTCTTTTTAACAAATCCTTTGAATCTTCCACCTTCCCATCCATACTCAAGACAGCAGCATCACCCCGATCCTCAAAGGTGGTAATCCAACTGACTGAATAACTATAGGCCTATATCAAACTTACCCCTACTATCTAAAATCTTCGAAAAATTAATTCACAAACAAATCTATTCCTACTCAGTATCCCACAACATACTTAACACCTGTCGGTTTGGATTTAGACTGAAAAAAAGTACTAACGATGCAATTATGCATAAGCATAATTGCATAATTCATAGACTTACGAAAAACTCTTAACACAGTTGACCATGATTATTGCACCAAAAACTCGAACATTATGAGGTCAGAGGACACTCTTGATTACCTAAAATCTTATCTTAGCAATAGAAACCAGTATGTATACACACAAATGGAGCTAACTCCACTACACAACCTGTTTTTGTTGGAGTTCCACAGGGTAGTGTTCTTGGCCCACTGCTCTTGCTCATTTACATCAATGACCTCCCAAATGCATCTAAACTCCTTAAACACATTTTATTTGCAGATGACATTACTTATGTCTTCTCTCACCCAAATCCAACCATACTAACAGACACTGTAAATGACGAACTACTAAAAATATCCACTTGGATGACTACCAACAAGCTTACTCTTAATAGAGACAAAACGTATTTCATACTACAGTGGTACCCCGAGTTTCGAACTTTCTTCATTCCAGAAGGCTGATCAAGTGCCGTTACTGAATGAATTTATTCCCATAAGGAATAATGTAAATTAGATTAGTCCATTTCAGACCCCCAAAAATACACTTACAAAAGCACTTACAACAGTACAATTACATAATTGGTCGTGTTGGAAGCAGTTCAAAACTCGTGGTACCACTGTACAGTGGACCCCAGGTTAACGATATTTTTTCTCTCCAGAAGTATGTTCAGGTGCCAGTACTGACCGAATTTGTTCCCATAAGGAATATTGTGAAGTAGATTAGTCCATTTCAGACCCCCAAACATACACGTACAAACGCACTTACATAAATACACTTACATAATTGGTCGCATTCGGAGGTGATCGTTATGCGGGGGTCCACTGTATTTAGAAACAGAGCTACAAATGTACAGCTAAACATATATGATAAATGGTTCACCCATTTGAAGACACACACAGGGTAAATTTCTAGGTCTCCACCTTGACTGCAATCTCAAATTCCATACCCACATACAGCAAATATCTAAGAAAGTCTCCAAAACAGTAGGCATCGTTTCAAAGATAAGGAACTGTGTATCCCAAATGGCTCTTCTTGCTCTTTACCACTCTCTCATTTACCCTTACCTCACTTATGGTATTTGTGCATGGGGCTCAACCACAGCAAATCACCTTAAACCTCCAATAATCCAACAAAATGCTACAGTGTGATTGATTAGCAACTCCTCCACTAGACAGCACACTCCAACACTTTCTAAGAGCCTGAACTTGTTTAGTTTACAAAACATCCACACCTATTATTGTGCCTACTACACACACAGAACATTATACAGTGGACCCCCACATACCGTTGGCCTTACATAAGGTTAAATCCGCATACCGATACATTTTATCGCTAAGATTTTGCCTCGCATACTGCTAAAAAACCCGCTCAACGCTGTTCGTCCGAGACACGTCTATGTGAGGCCTGAGCCAGCCTCACATGTTCTGCCGGTGGCATTGTTTACAAGCCAGCCTCCGCGGTAACATCCAAGCATACAATCGTAACATTTAGTATTATTACAGTGTTTTTGGTGATTTTATCTGCAAAATAAGTGACTATGGGCCCCAAGAAAGCTTCTAGTGCCAACCCTGTGGTAAAAAGGGTGAGAAATATTATCGAAATACTGTGGTACCATGGTCAACTGCTGATGCTGCTGCTGCTGTAGCACTGTCAGCTGCTGCTGCTGCTGAAGCACCATCAGCTGCTGCTGCTGCTGTACCACCGTCAGCTGCTGCTGCTGTTGTAGTACTGTCAGCTGCTGCTGCTGCTGTAGCACTGTCAGCTGCTGGTGCTGCTGTAGCACTGTCAGCTGCTGCTGCTGCTGTACCACCGTCAGCTGCTGCTGCTGCTGTAGTACCGTCTGCTGCTGCTGCTGCTGTAGTACCGTCTGCTGCTGCTGTAGCATCGTCTGCTGCTGCTGTAGCACTGTCAGCTGCTGCTGCTGCTGCTGTAGCACTGTCAGCTGCTGCTGCTGCTGCTGTAGTACCATTGTTGGTGTGGCTTATTGAGAATACCAAGAAACAATTAACCCCAGAGGGTTAGCCACCCAGGATAACCCAAAAAAGTGTGTCATCGAAGACTGTCTAACTTATTTCCTTTGGGGTCCTTAATCTTGTCTCCCAGGATGCAACCCACACCAGTCGACTAGCACCCAGGTGAACAGGGAAAAACGCCTGGAACTAGTGCTCATATTGGTGAATTTAAAGCCAGCAAAGGTTGGTTTGAGAGATTTAAGAATTGTAGTGACATACACAGTGTGATAAGGCCTGTTCTGGAAGAAAATGCCAAACAGGACCTACAGTACTCAGGAGGAAAAGGCACTCCTAGGACACACTGTCTCATCAGTCATTGCTGCATCTTCAATAA